GATGGACCCTCAGGGAGGGCTTTCTTATGTTGATTTGGCTACCTGACTGGGTGTGTGTCAGCCTGGAAAGACAAGGGAGTTGGAGAGAGACCAGGTGAATGAAGAGAGAGAGACAGGAGTGAAGAAGGAGAAGATTGGAATAAACTGCAACTAAGACCAACCAACCTGGTTCTCGCTTCTTCCTTCATCTGCCCTTGGCCAACAGCCTTCCCGATCCAGGCCACACACAGCAGCTCAAGGGCACCGAATGCAGGTGGAGAGACAGCCGTCCAGAGAGCCCACAAACACATAACCTCCCACATGATTAGTTTTTTACATTGGGAATGTGCACTGGTGGAGGAATGGGTGTTGGATTATTGTGTGACTGTAACCCAAACATGAAAACTTGTAACTATCTCATGATGATTCAATAAAATTTTTTAAAAATTATAATATTAAAAAAGAAAAAGAAGTCATAAAAGCTTTGAACCGCAGAATAAGAGAAAGGAGTTTCAAAAGGAGGAGGAGGAAACTTCTAGGAAAACAGCAAAAGGTAGAAGATAGCCTGAAAATAAATTTAACAGCACACCAGAGAACTATGGGATGAGTTCAAATGAAAGAATCCATATTAGGGCATCAAATTTTTGTGTACTTTAGCTAACTTGCAACATTGCTTTCTGTAAAACTGCTTGGCTGCTTTGCACCTGGGGTAGAGGGGACTTGGAAAGTGATTTACTGTCCCTGAAATGTATTGTCTCAGTAAAGCACCCTGCAGATTTGGGTAAAGGATAACTCAGGATGCGGGTGGTTGGGGGAAATTGCCCTTTCCTGGAATGTACTGTCTCACTAAAGCACCCTGCAGACTTTGGTAACTCAAAAGGAGGATGGTCAAGGGAGATTACCTAAGGCTTAATGATTCCAGGTATAACCTTGCTTGTGCTGACAATCGATGTACGTAAATGCTGATCTTTGAATCTATAGGCTAAGGAGTGAGGTACTTTTAAATGGATTGGTTAAGAAAGTATATGTTGTTACAAATCTATTGGCTATGAAATGCGCGGGCTTTGCTGTAACAGCCAGTGAAGGCCTATATAAGATCCCCTTTGAAGAAGTTCGGGGCTCTCAGCCACTGCCCGTTTTTGGGGTATGCTGCGGAGCCCCAGCATGCTGGTCTAAATAAACCCCGGTTTTTACTCCTGCAGGAATTGTGTCTATCTGGTCTCTCCGCGCCTCCCAGTGCTAGGGAACTCCCGATCCCAACACAAGAGGAGCAATATAATAATCATCAGAGACCCTGAAAAACAGGACTGCAAATGTGATAAAGAAACAAAAGTTAAAGAAATCATTGGTAAGAATTTCCCAAAGTTGAGGATTACAGGCACTGAGATCCAAGAAGTCCAAAGAGTCCCAATGAAAATACAACCAATCAGGAAAACTTCAGGACATATACTCAAAATTACAAAATCCAAAGATAGAATACTGAATGCAGAAAGATCAAAAAAGGTACTTATATACCAAGAAAGGCCCATTAAATGTACAGCAAATCTATCAAGTGAGACTATAAGTCAGAAGAATATGGAAGAATACAATACAAAAACTCAACATAATGAACACCTCATCAAGAATATTCTCCCCAGCTAGGTTATCATTCAGATTTGAGGTTCAAGGACAGGCAAAAGCTCAGGGAATTTGTAGCCTTGAAACCAGTTTTGCAAGCATTAAAAGAGCTTGAATACTTTTTAAAAGTCAGTTAAAGGACAGTTAAAGGGCAGGAAAACTTCCCATTATGAGGCACTGAGTAAGGCACTCACTAATGGCACATATGGTTGTCTTTCTTAATCTAGTAAAGATTAAGAAAGGTTAAAGACATAGCAATCCATCAACACAAATTGAGTTTTATTATTTTCTGATCATTTTATTTGCCGTTCCTTTAAGTTTTGTTGAACCAAGTAACATGAAATAAATTCATTATATGCCTACAAGTGGGTAGGATGGTGGGGTGAGAAAGAACCTGGGAAAATTGATATAGTGAAGGGGATATTGGCGGTGAGACTGACACTGGAATACTGTACGCCTGAAACAACTCTATTATGAACAACTTTGTAAATCATGGTGTCACAATAAACATTCCTAAAAAAAAAAGTTTAGCATTTGATACCAAAAAACTATATGAATACACCATATACTCACACCTGGAGTCAACCTCCTTCAAATAAAAATAGACTCCAAAGCATGCTGAAAGTAGACTATAGACCAAACATGATTGCCACTCAATGCCTCTTTTGCAAACCACAACACCCAAAAGGAGACAGAGAGAACAAAAGGGAATCCCTGCCACAGAGGCAGGGTGGGAGAGAGGGATGGGGGATGGGGGTTGGTTGGGAGGGATACTGGGACCCATGGTGGTGGAAAATGGGCACTGGTGGAGGGATGGGTACTTGATCATTGTATAACTGAAACCAAAGCACAAAAATTTGTAAGTTTACCAGTCTACAGTATGGGAAAGGATATTCGCCGAATACACATCTGACAAGGGGTTGATATCAAGGATATATAAAGTACTGGTTGAACTCCACAAGAAGAAAACATCCAACCCCATTTAAAAAAATGGGGCAATGAAATGAACAGAAACTTTCTCAAAGAAGAAATCCGAATGGCAAAAAAGCACATGAGAAAATGCTCTACATCATTAATCATCAGGGAGATGCAGATCAAAACCACAATGAGATACCATCTCACACCTCAGAGACTGGCCCACATTCAAAAGAACAAAAGCAACCGATGCTGGCGCGGATGTGGCGAGAAAGGGACACTCCTTCACTGTTGGTGGGAATGCCGACTAGTTCAGCCCTTTTGGAAAACAGTATGGACGTTTCTCAAAAAATTAGAAATTGAGCTCCCATTTGACCCAGCGATACCACTCCTGGGAATATACCCCAGAGAGGCAAAAATGTGTAGTCGAAGTGACATCTGCACTTGTTTGTTCATTGCAGCACTCTTTACAATAGCCAGAAACTGGAAGAAACCTGAGTGCCCAAGAACAGATGACTGGTTAAAGAAACTTTGGTACATCTACACAATGGAGTACTATGTAGCTCTTAGAAAAGATGAAGTCATGAATTTTACATACAAGTGGTACCACCTGGAAAGTATCATGATAAGTGAAATGAGTCAGAAAGAGAGGGATAGACATAAAAAGATTGCATTCATCTGGGGGACAAAGTAACAAAATAGGAGATTAATACCCAAGAATAGCTGAGATCAGTACCAGGAGGATTACTCCATGGCTTAGAGGCCAGCTGGACACTCTAGGGGAAAGGGCAGCTCAGATAGAGAAGGGAGCACCAAATAAAGGGTGTTTGGAGGATCCTCCCAGGAGGGGAGATACATGTTGAAAGTAGACTATGGACTGAACATGATTGCCACTCAATGCCTCTTTTGCAGACCACAACACCCAAAAGGAGAGAGAGAACAAAAGGGAATGCCCTGCCACAGAGGCAGAGTGGGATAGGGGGATGGGTGTGGGAAGGATACTGGGATCCATGGTGGTGGAAAATGGGCACTGGTGGAGGGATGGGTACTTGATCATTGTATAATCGAAACCCAAGCACAAAAATTTGTAAATCTACAAGTGTACCTCATGGTGTTCCACTAATAAAAATTAAAAAAATTTGTAAGTCTACAACTGTACCTCATGGTGTTTCAGTAATAAAAATTAAAAAAAAAATAGACTCCAGATCAGTCCTTTTCTGTGTTCTCAACTATTTTGAGAGTAACTGAGAAAGTAGTAGCCAAACACAAAGAATGAATTTCTCACTATAAGAAAAAAATCTGTTGGGTCAAAGAGATAGTTTTATAGGTAGGGTGATTGCCTTGCATATGGCCAACCTGGGTTCAATCCCTGGCATCTCATGTGGTCACCCATGCACCACCCCGAGTAGTATCTGAGCACAAAAGCCGAATTTGAACATTACCAGGTGTGACCAAAAACAAAACAAGACAAAACAACAACAACAACAAAAACTATGTGGTCTGAATAAATTAATCTCAAGAGAAATGCATTCAATCATTCAAAAAAACAAATGGGGAGTTGGAAAGAACACCACCGAGCAGTATTCAGGGGCTATTCCTGGCACTGAGCTCAGAAACGACCCCTGGCAGGACCATATGTAGGGGAAGGAATTAATCAAGGTCAGTCACATGCGAGACAAACACCTTACCCCCTTAAACTATCTCTCAGTGCTCACCAAATTTTATTAAGGCTTATTATTTACTATACATCGGGTATTAAGCAAGATGCTAGGGTCATAAGTGAAAGAATGTCTGTGCTTTTTAAAAAATTGTCCTTACAAAAGAAACATACATAGACAACAGAAAGTAAGATGTATACTGGATACTAAGAGCACATAGAGGAAAGACACATATGCTAGATCTGGATGAAGGAAGAATTAGACAAAAGATTTTCTAGAGGTGATGACATTCTAACTCGTGCGGGCCCAGTAACATCTCCATTGAAGACTTTGTTGTTACTGTGTCTGGCATATCGAATACGTCACGGGGAGCTTGCCAGGCTCTGCCGTGCGAGCGAGATATTCTCAGTAGCTTGCCGGGCTCTCCGAGAGGGGCGGAGGAATCGAACTCGGGTCGGCCATGTTGGCTGCGTGCAAGGCAAACGCCCTACTGCTGTGCTATCGCTCTGGACATTCTAACTAACCCTTAAGAAATAGTAACAGATGAGTGGAGAGAGAAGGGAAAGAAATCATTCCTTCTGGAGTAAATGCTGGCAAACGGAGAAAAAAAAATCTACGGGTACCACTGCACTGTGAAACAAGAAAAAAATAATCTCTTCCTAAAGTTAATTGGCAGACAAACACTGGAAATACAGGTTGAATAGGTATATTTGGTGGCTATATTTGTTTATAGAGCATATCTATATCTTTTCCAACTCAAAATTAAAGCACAATTTGGAGAACAGAGAGAAACTGTAGTTAAGATAGATTCAGAGACAAATTCTCACTCACAACACTGGGCGGCAGCAGTGGGCAATGGCTTCCTCTGGTTTTCTTCTTGAATAGAATACTAGAAGCAGAAAGAAGGGGAAAAAGTGTAAGAGATCCAAATAAAGAGAGGAGATCATAGATACCCATTATAATGTTTAGCATTTGACTGGAGGCAGCCTTTCATTGAACTGAAACATCTTGCTGACTGCCCTCTGCAATCCTGACATACAAGGTCAGACTATCAATAAGGTATCGGCCCACTGCAACAGGCTACAAGCAAGATAACAGAGAGCTGTTCAAAACAAAGACTTCTGGGTACCCCACCTTCCAGCTCTGCCATAAAGCTGTAGAAAGCATAGTTTTGTAAGTCTTGGAGGACTAAGAAAACTCAGTCCAATTTCTCCTCACTGAAAATTAAGTTTTTAATGGGGAGGTTGGGGGGGGGGGCAGGGGAGTAATAGAGTTTCTTCCCTCTCGAGGTCACATAGAAAAGTGAAATTACTTGGGGCTATAGCAATAGCACAGAGGGTAAAAGCCTTGAACAAGGCTAATGCATTGTCTCCAGAACCCCAGATGGTCCCCTGATCTCTGCCAGGGGTGATCCCTGAGCACAGAGCCAGGAGTAACCCTGAGCACCGCCAGGATGCTGTGGAGCAGCATGTGGAGCAAAACCAAAACCGGTGAAGTTACTTACTCAAACATGAAATAAACATGTGTATCTAGAATTCCCTTCCCACTTAGAATTTACCCTCCCCAACTCAACTCACCATCCAAAAATCAACAGTGTCCCATAAGTAACAAAAACAAACACTGTATACAAAAGTATCAAAGGTTTTTATTTTAATTTTATACTGATTCTTATTAAGTACAAGTCTTGAGGATGGGCAAAATTTGGAAAGTCAAAACAAAAGCAGAGAGTCATAAACAAGTTACAAAGATTCACAGAGTTAAGAAGACAAAATAGTTGGGTTTCAAAGCCCAGTGGCGGTTTGGAAAGAAATGTTGGTCCAATTTACAAATATAATATTTAGAGTTCTCATGAGAATCTTCCACTTATTGATAAGCTGAGTAATTCAGAGCTTATCTGAAGCTGTCAATAATTATATCATTCATTCAAAAGGTATTTCTCAAGAACCTACTAAGTGCAAGACTTTAATTCTAAGGACCAAAAATAAGACTAGTAAGTCAGGGTAAGGATTTCCCATTTTATTCTAGTAGACGGGGAAGACATTTAGACTTTTAATTACAATTTTTAAAAAATGACTGCTGTGTGAGAAGAAAAGACAAGAAAGAGGGAATATATAGTAGTTATATTGTAGTAACTAGACATCGTTGATGGGGACTTACACGAGTGTGTTAATGGTGAAGAACATTTCAAGTGATCTAATTCAAAATAACAAAGGACCAAAGAGAACAGGGGCAAAGGCATATTCCTCACATATCTAAGGGGCCCTTGGCCTACTCTGCATTGCTTGGAAGGCCTAATAAATAACTTTTAAAAAATTAAACAAATACATATTGATCTATCAATAGATTTGTATATGTAAAGTACCTTATAAACAATAAACTATGATACAAATATCAGAGATAAATATTCTTACTACTAGTGCTAAAAGATGACAATAAGTCAAGCACAATTTAAATGATCTCTCAATATTTTAAAAACTACCAATTATAAAAATGTCCAAGTCATTTTACAAAGGAACTTATACTTAGTTACATATAGCCTCCATCACAATAATTTTTGTAGCCATAACATAGGCAATAATAGTGAGATAATCCTAAAACTTTGCTAAACTAGAAGAATTCAGACAAAGATGAAGGCATTTTCAGAAACATTTAATGAATATCTTTTAAGCAAAAATTGAAATTCAATCAAAAAGTTGAAATGCAGTCTAATTAATGTTGACAACTAAGAAAACATCTGTAAGATCTATATTTTAAAAAAAGATGAAAAAGTGGCATTAGAAAGAAAAATTATCCTATCAAAAATAGGAAGAACCCAAAGACAATAGAAATGAAGGTCAAAAAAACTGATTCTTGGTAGGAAGCTTGCCACAAGGTGGAGAGTGGTTAGGACAGAGAAGTGACCCACTATAAATGATAGTGGGAGATGATCATCCTGAACAAGAACTGAGTACTGAAAGGGGGTAAAGTGATATGCATGAGACTCTTTCAGCAACAGTATTGCAAACCACAGTGCCTAAAAGGGGAAAAAAGAAATGTACCTTTTATTGAGGTGGACTGGTGAGCGGAACTGGGGGTATAGGTGGAAGGACTAGACCCTGGTGAAGGAATGGGAGCTGGAACATAGTATGACTGAAATTCAATCATGATCAACTTTATAACTTTGTATCTCCAGATGATTCAATAAAAATTTTTTAATGGGGAGAAGAAATGCACAGAATCTTCCTCAAAGAAGAACTACAAATAGCAAAGAGCGTATGAAAAAACTCTCTAAAATCACTAATCATCAGGAAATGCAAATTAAAACAAAAATGAGATATCACCTCACACCACAGAGACTAGCACTAATCAAAAAGAATGACAACAACCAATACTGGCATCAATGTGAAAGGAATAGGGACCCTCCTTTAGTGATAGTAGAAATGTATTGCCTTTTGGGAAGACAATATGGACAAACATTCCTCAGAATAATAGGATTTGGGGCTTCCATGTGTCCCAGCAATTTTACTCCAGGGAATATTCTCCAAGGGCCCAAAAGAAAGATGCAGAAAATAAATTTGCACTCCTAAAATCATTGCAGCACTACAAAATATGGAAACAAACCAAGAGCCCAAGAACAGATGACTGGATAAAGTACATACATACAATGGGATAATACTTAGCCTTTAAAGAATAAAAAAGATGAAGTCATGCAATTTACTGCTGAGTACATGGATTTTTTTTATATTAAATGAAGTTTGTCAGAATGAGGGATAGACACAGAATGATCTCTCTCACATGCAGGATATAAAGAAACATGGTAGACAAATGAGTCTCAGAAGAGAGCAGCATGCTACAGAGATGCCTCCCTACCCCACACCAGGCTGATATCACCTAGGCACCTCTGAGGAGGGAAGATTTATCTGCCCCAAAAGAACCCCAGCAGCTGCAAACCTCTAGAACCCAATCACTGCCACACTCATGGTCAACCCTCAGAGGCTCGCCCCCAACCCCCTACACAAGAGACTGAATCCACTGAAAAACCCAAGTATACGGGACTTGTGATTGAAATCTCTAGGCTTTCAGAGTGGGTAATGGGCCCCTTCACCCATTTTCCTAGAGGGGCTTCCGCCTTCCTGGCAGTCATGCTCACAAACTGCCTCTGGGTGCTATTTAAACACATTAATGGCCATGATCCAGACTTAGAAATGAATCTCAGAAGAGAGTAACATGCTGCAAAGATGCCTCTGGACCCCAAAATCACCATCCTCTAGCAGTCTATGAAAAAAAATTTAGAATTCCAGGAGTGGGGCTGGAATGACAGCACAGCGAGTAGGGCATTTGCCTTGCATGCAACCAACATGGCCGACACGAGTTCAATTCCCAGCATCCCATATGGTCCCCCGAGCACCGCCAGGACTAATTCCTGAGTGCATGAGCCAGGAGTAACCCCTGAGCATTGCCGGGTGTGACCCAAAAAGCAAAAAAATTTTAAAAATTAAAAAAAAATAGAATTCCAGAAGTGCAGTTGCAAAGCAGCCATGCAACATTTCACACATGATTATGCCACTGATACACCAAGAGAAGCACACCACATTTGGTGGGTATAAGGTAGAAGACAACCAATCTTGACTTTAAAAAAAAGAAAGATATGGGGCTGGAGAGATAGCACAGCGGGTAGGGCGTTTGCCTTGCACGCAGTCACCCAGGTTTGATTCCCAGCATCCCATATGGTCCCCTGAGCACCGCCAGGAGTAACTCCTGAGTGTGGAGCACCGCCAGGAGTAACCCCTGTGCACTGCCAGGTGTGACCCAAAAAACAAAACAAAACAAAAAGATGTGTGTGTGTGTGTGTGTGTGTGTGTGTGTGTGTGTGTGTATTCAAAACTCTAACAACAAAACTCAAAATTCTAATGACATGTTAATGATCTCTAATTCAGGGGGTTAATGCCTCCAAGAACTTTCACACACTTTCCTCAAAGGAAACCTTTTTTTTTTTTTTTTTTTTTTTTTTGCTTTTTGGGTCACACCCGGCGATGCTCAGGGGTTACTCCTGATTCATGCACTCAGGAATTGCTCCTGGTGGTGCTCGGAGGACCATATGGGATGCTGGGAATTGAACCTGTGTTGGCCATGTTGGCTGCGTGCAAGGCAAGTTGGCCATGTTGGCTGCGTGCAAGGCAAACGCCCTACCCGCTGTGCTATCGCTCCAGCCCAAAGGAAACCTTTTTGGCTCATTTTTAGTCAATTCATAACAAGCAATACAAAATAAATTAGTTATCATCTGCCTTCAGGGCAGGCTAGCGTGGTAATGGGCAAACTCAAAATAAAGGTGGGAAGGTGTAATGGTGAAATTGGTGTTGAAATATTGAATGTAATCAATTACTGTGAACAACTCTTCAAAAATAAAATTTTAAAAAAAGAAAGAAGCATAGGAGAATAACAAATGCCCAAAGGCAATAGAAATGAAGAGCAGGAGAATTGGACTTCAGTGTGAAGCTTGCCACTGGGGTGGGATACGAGGGATAAGTCAGGGAAGGGAATACTGAGACAATGGTGGAGAGACAAAGTTCCTGCCATAGAAGTGGGCTGGAGGGTGAGAGGGAAACTGAAACATTGGTAAAGGGAAGTGGACATTAATCAGTGTTGGAACATTGTACAACCTGAAATAATAATGAATAACTTTGTAACTCTTGTTGATTCAATTAAATGTGAATTCAATTAAAAAAGGAAAATTATGTGTCAAATTTATTTATAAATATAGATGCAAATAATCTCAGAAGAGATGACAAACTGAAACTCAGGGGCATACTAGTTTTAGGACTGAAAAAACTGAGGCTCCCTCAGGAGGGAGACAGGCTGAGTCCCCACCCTGTGGACGCCCTGGAAGCTGCCACACACCCCACAGCCACC